CTTTACCTGGCCGCCGCCCGCTCACCTGGCGGGGAGCCTCTTTGCGAGCAGAAGATGCAAATAGAGCGCCACCTCCTGGCCGATGCAGCCGACGCAGGCTCTGGGCTGGGGAAGCTCAGCATCAGGAGGGTTAATTAAAGCCAGACTTCGTTAAGAACACGGGAAACCGTAAAAAAAATCTGGCCAGACCCAGGACAGGCTTAGTCGGGCCCTAATTTAGAGGAACCCCGCTGTAAGCTGCACACAATTTACGGAGTACTGAATGCACAGAACATAAATATCAGCGATCGAGACTCAGACTGCCAGATAAAGCACAACATCTTAGCACAGATATTAGCTAAATTTGTGTTCCTATTCTTAGAGGCAGATGGATTTCCAAGGATTGCTCTGGTGGGACATCATATATCATGTTATATTGTATACGTATATAATATATGGCTGCTTTTGGAGGTGTGCTTTGGAAGACATCATTCCTTAAGCACGCAATTTGCCACTCAGAATATTTTCCTCCATACTTAGTTTCATCAGATAAATTGAGGAACACGGTAATATGAAATACCTCCAGCAAGATAGATAGATATTGATAAAGGTGCCGTATAGAAGCACCAACAATGGATCTCTTTTCCTCTGATGGTCTGCGTCAGCCGAAGCTGGTCCTGGAGAAATATGCAGACGCGACCAGCCGTTCTGAGGCGTTGGGAGAAAGCGGCCGCCTCTCTTCCAAGCAGAGACGTCTGCCGGTGTGGTCCACAGAGTCAAGAGGGTGGCTGTGGAGGCACCACTGAAGCTCTGCCTCAGTTGCACCACTGTGGCTGCCATCTTGAGGGGTGTGTGTGTGTGTGTGTGTACGTGTGTGTGTATAAAATCCCCCCCTCACCCCTGTGGGTGGTCTGTGTCTTCCTCATCTCGGGTCGTCCACCGGAGGCCTGGGAGTTGGAAGGTCCTGCCCAGCAGGGTTCCTCAACCTCAGCCACTCTAAGATGGGTGGACTTCAGCTGGCTGGCTGGGGAATTCTGGGAGTTGAAGTCCGCCCATCTTGAAGTGGCTGAGGTTGAGGAACCCTGCTGGGCAGGATCTGAGCTGCTCCTAGCCCTGCACCCTTCTGGGCAGAGAGCACTGATGTTCCTCCTGGGATCCACTGGAGCCATCCCCGAGGGCTCCGACCACCACGGGGACCCCTTTGGCCTTGACTTTCCACTTCCTCTCCAGTTCCTCCTTCAGGCCCTGGTGCTTCTCCCGCTTCTCATCCTCCTTCTTCCTGATGTTGCTGTCAGTTGGCACTGCTACATCGATCACTACCGCCATCTTCTGGTCATTCATAAATAAATAAATAAATAAATATTGCTTTTTTTCTTCTCTGGGTTTGCTTTTAATGGCTGGCAAGTAGAAGCCTCGCACCTTCCCACGCTGGGCGCTTCCTCCCTGGGCCTTCACCCTTTCGTCTCCGGACTGTCCAGTCCCTCCGAAGGAAAACCGCCTTTTCTCTCTCGGCTGCTGGATGTCTCGGCTGGCCAGCGGCTGCAGAGCTGGCCTCTCGTTCCCCTTTTTCTCCCGGGCTCCCTCCACCCCGCTCTTGCTTTTGCGCCATGGATTGGAGGACTTTCACAGTCTGAGCTCCAGAACCCGGGAATTAATTGGTATTTTCTGGCTCTGGATTCTGCTGCCATCTTGAACCCCAGGCGGCTGCGACCTTCCAGGCAGGAGAGTGGGATGGAGGTCCGGCCTGGGGCTGATTCTGGAATGTCTCCCTCTCTCTGGCAAAACTGTCCCCTCTGCAAAGGGGCTGACCCACACTTTCCCAGGCAGATTAATTGGCATTTCCTGGCTCTGCGCAAACTCCCATCCCGTGGCAGAGCTGGCTGATCTCAGCTACGGAGGGTCGGATCTGCTTCGCTCTTGGATGGGGGACCATGCAGAAATCACACCTCGGTGAACTGGGCTCCCCCTTCAAAACCGTCCTGGAGAGAAGCCGGGGCGAATCCACTTCCCTGATGCTCCCAAGCAAGGACACAGGCAGGTCCAGAGTCCCTCTCCGGCATGTGGGAAGGGGCACCCGTGAGAGAAGTTGGATCACCCTGGGTGCCCCTAGCAGCTGAGCCGTTCCTCGGTGCCATTCCCCCTGTGCCCACCAGAGGGCGTTGGGGGGCCCTTGGGGAAAGAGCTCAGACCCCCTTCCCTGCCTTTTGGGGGGGGGCTTTTCTTACCCTCAAGGGCTCCCCACCCTCATTTCTCTTACCGATTAACCTGCCCCACATTTTACACATCTCTTTCTAGGACTGTTTCACAGCTCTGCACGTGCGGTCCTTGCCCCCTTTCTCTCACCCAGAGCCTCTTCTGGGCTGGAGTGGATTCTTGAGCCATGATTTGGCCCCTTTGATTGTGGTTGGCTTCTGCTGCTGCTGGGCCGACCCAGATGTTGGCTTGGCAAAGGCTCCTGGTCTGTCTTTTGGGGGGTGGGTGGGAGAGGAGCATCCCCAGGTGCCAGGATTTTCAGATGGAAGAAGACAGGGACGTAGCAGGCATCTCAGAAGACTCTCAGAATTCAGGAAGATCTTGGCAAGCTGGAACGACGGGCAGCAACTGGCGAGAGGAATTCCAACCGAATTTCCACATTTGGACAGGAAAGCTCAAAGGCATGAATAGCGGATGGGGGGGGGGAGGATACAGAGCAGCAGGATAAGCAGAAAGTAACCACGGGAGATCACAAACTGAGTGTGAGCCGAGAGCGTGACAGAGCTGCAAAAAGGGCCAATGCAATCCTTGGCTGCAGCAGTAGAAGTCCAGCGTCAAGATCCAGAGGCATCACTGTCCATCTCTGCTCCACATTGCTCAGAGCACACCTGGAGTATCGGCTCCCATTCTGGGCTGTGACTTCCAGGCACGTCCGTGTCCTTGGCAACCTGGATCAGGCCCGGAGGAGAGCAGCCGGATCTTGGTTTACTCACTCGCAGGGCCGACCGGCTGCTCCCCTCTGCCAGCTCTGAGCAGCGTCTCATCCCCGATTCCCGGCTGGGATTCAGATCCCGGAGCAAGTTCACCAGCACCGACCGGGAACGTTCCTGGGGAACTGGGACTCGCAACTGGGAATTGCAGTTGTCAAGGGGAGCCCATCGCGTGACCCAGAGGCCCTCACGGCAGTCCAGACTCTGTAATTTCATGGAACAAGCACCCTTGGCACAGCCAAGCTGGGTGTCCGGGGGGGGGGGGTTCCAAGGGGTGGGGTGAAGAGACTCAGCCTGCTCCTGGGGGGCCACAGTCCAGGGCCACTTGGGGCTGCGGGAGCGAAATGGGCTTCAGGCGAGCGAAGGAGGGTGGCCAGGCTGCATCCCCCCCTTTATGCACCCCTTCGTTTGCAGCCCCTTGAATTCTCCCTCGGCCAATGGCAGACAAGCCAGACTAAGGGCTGCTTCGCGTTCCCAAACCAGGTTGATGAACTGCAAGGGCTGAGTTCACACAACCCCCGACGCACAAGCAGAGGGTCCCCTACTGGCAAAGGAAACAGCTCCAGCCCAGGATAAGGAGGTGCCCAGATGCCCGGCCGTTTTAGCCGCACGAAGCCGGGCCTGGGACCCCCAAGGCCACCCCCCTCCTGCCACCAGAGGCTGATTCCTGCGACCCCCAGATCCCCAGGCCCTTCACCTCCTGGAAGTCAGGAGGAAACCCCCTTGGCCCAGAGAAGCGCCCAGATCGGTCCTCCCGGCTTTTTCCAGGAAGGACACGGCGCCCCTTCGGAGTCCCCCCCGCTGGGGTCTGAGGGAAGCATCCAGTCCACCCCCTCCCGGCC